TTGAACTCTTGGGCTCACCAGCCCAAGCACCTGGGACTTCAGGCTGGCATCACTGCACCCTGATAACATGATTTTATATATATGTATATATACGTACACACACCGTGGATTGGCTAAATCAAGCCAATTAACATATGCATGACCTCACGTACATATCATTTATGTGCAGTGAGAACACTTAAAATCTACTCTCTTAGCAATTTTTAAGTATACAATACATTGTCATTAACTATAGCACCATATTGATTGGGGGGTTACCAATAAATTTTAGGGAGTGGTCAAATACACACATAATGAGATCGACTGTATACCCCCAACGTTATCATGTCAACATGCAATTGGTATAAAAATTACCAGGGAGATAGTCCACGTTCTCTTTTGCAAACTCAGAGTCTGTTTTATGCTGACAGCACATCTCAGTTCAGAACAGCCATGTTTCGAGTGCGTAAGAGCCACACGTGGCCAGTGGTTTCGGTAGGAGACAGTGTAGACTAGCTTTCCTCAGATTCTCACAGGGTTCTATAAATTCAAACAAATAAAAATGAAAAACGAATGCCAGATGCAACCACCCTGGAGAGCCATGTGACAACATCTAAGAAAGCTGCACATTCTCCGAACCTCTGACCCAGGAATTCCACTTTGAGGCCAATGCCCCAGAAAAAAAAAAAAAGTGCCACTTAGCACAAGGCAACATGTATAAGAATATTCTTTGCTTCCCTGCGCATAGGAGCACAGTATTGGAGAACCCTAAAGCCCAGCATTGGAAAAACGGATCCACTGAAGACCACATGTCCACACCCTAGAATCTTTAACATCTTCGCGAAGGGAATAACCTGAGCTACATGTGACAACCCCGGGGAAACTCACAAGCTCAGTGTGGAGCTGGAGAGGACAAAAGCAAGCCTGCGAAGGTCGCAGACTTGATACTATTTATACAACATTAAAAACATGCAAGGCGATACTCTCCAGCAATGATGGATTTATACATATGTAGCAAAAGTCTTCATTTATTTGTTTATTTTCAATTTTTTTAAGGTGAAACAGTGGGAGTGGAGAAGGAACAAAGAAATCTGAAACTGGTTGTGATCAATTTGTTGTAAACACTACTGCCCTGACCAGCTGCAAAAATCTTTTTTTTTATCGAATAATAACAAACACCTCATTTGGGAGAGTGGTTACTTCTGGGAGGGAAGGGAAGGATTTGGGAAGGAGAGCTTTCACCAAGGATTTCAATTATCTTTGGAAAGTTATATTTTTCAATCAGGGTGGTAGATATGTGCACGGATGCTTGTTACATTTGGGGGAATATTTTTGATGTGTGTATGCCGGAAATATTTCATTGCATGGAGAATCACAGCGAGGTTTTGTGCTGTGTGTGAACAAGTCAGAGATGGTAAGAGTCAGTCCTTGTGGCCTGTCTGTGCCTTGGAAAATAGTAATTCTTATAGGTAGATAGATGATGAGGATTAAATGAGATTATTGTACAGGTGTGTAAAGCTCCCAGGAAAGTGCCCGGCCCGTAGTGACAGCCATAAGAGGATTTGTTAATGATAATAACAATAATATGAAGAACCCAGCTATACTCAGTGCTATGGTTTGTGTTTTCATCCATTATTGTATTTAACAGTATTTGTTCAAAGTATGTACGGTGTAGTAGAGAGAAAACAGCATTACTGTCTCAAAACGGGAGCGAGGGCAGCCCGGCTTTGTCAAGAAGGTTGCTTAACTGCACCACGATGATTGTTAAAGGCCAGGATTTTGATTTACTAGTTTATAAGTGTATTCGTTCCAGCACAAAACAAATTAATTTAATGTTATGTCTTCTTTTCTTTTCTCTTTCTTCTCTTTTTTTTTGGCTGAGGATGGGATGGGATGGTGGGTGGGGTAACTCAACAACCTTTGAAGTGTAAATTAATTTTTTACCTGTTCTTTCAGTATATACTTTATTCTTTGAATTTACTTGAAAATATATATAATATATAAGTAATATATCATATATGAGATATACTACAGTTTATATAATTTACTATATATGGTAGTATATCTAATATAATTGTACTAGATATAATATTGTAATGTACATTATATTATGCATTATAACTATTACATTTTTTTTAACAATATTGCTCTGGGTAGGAGCTGCGATTACCTTCATTTCATACAGGAGGAAACTGAGGCACAGAGGCAGTTGGACACTTGTCAGCATGCACTGGCCTGGCCAGGAGTGGACAAAGCCCAGAGAGGGTCACAGAAGGAGCCCTTGGGGTCTGGGGACAGGAGGGGTGGGGTGGGGGAGAGGCGAAAGGCTGGAGGCCAGCTTTAAAGAGGGGTGTGTACGTGCCCTGAGGTCAGGACTGGAACCTCCCCCACCCACACCTGCACACTGAGGTCACTCTGGGTGACCCCGCAGAGTGGCGTTACTAAATGGGGAGGTGCAAAGCTCCCCGGATCATCGGTGAGCCTCGGGGGGAGGGCTGGGGAGGGCTGGAGGCCTGCAGCGTCCCTTCTCACTCTCCTCCCAGGGGACCCAGGTGGCCGGCCCTCCAGCCTGACCTTTCAGCTTTAGCGTAGCGGATGCCTCTGCAGTCGCCGCAGCCCTGCGCTGTGCACAGCCAACCCCAGGGCCCGGGTGGAGGAAGTTGGCTCGAGCAGGCACCTGAGGTCTGTCTCCCAGAAGCTGACAGGCAGGGGGCAGAGAGGAGCCCTGAGACCCCAGACGCTCCCCGAATCCCAGCTCTGCCTCTCCCTGGCCGTGTCTCTGTGGCCAGTGACTCTGCTTCTTCATGCCTCAGTTTCCCAGTCAGTACATTGGAAACCATCATTCTACTCACCCGGGTTATTGGGAGGACTCCACAAAGTCTTGGATGAATGAAAGAGAGAGAGAGAGAGAGGGAGGGAGGAGCCCAGGCCTGGCGCCTTGTAACCATCAAGTCAATAGTCATCACTGTATTATTTTATTTTAAATTTTTGAATAAGCAACACACACGCGTGGCAAAAATTCAAATCATGCAAACGGCACAGTGATTAAAAAGTTCCCTGAAAGCCATGTAGGATATTGATTCCTGACTCAACTAATGTAAATAAGGACTTAAAACAAACAGAGAGAAATTGAATACAGACTGGTTATTAGCCAATTTTAATAAATTATTGTTAATGTCATTAAATATGATACTTGTAGTTGAGGTGGAAATTTTCCTTACTTCTACGGAGAGATGTGCACCCAGCTGTCTTGGAACAATTTATCCTGATGCCTGCAGTTTATTTTATAACTTGCAGTTTTTATGAGGGAAAATTTTAAACATAACCAAAAATAGAGACAGCAATGAAATGAGCCCCTGGTTCTCGAATAGCACCACTTACCTGCCTCCCCGCCCCGACACACACACTTTTATTTTCTTTTGCTGGAGTATTTTAAAGCAAATACATGTCATTTCCACCCAGGAAGATTTCAATAGGTTATAATTTCCTTTAAAATAATTTGTGTCCCCCCAGCGTTCTTCCTACTTTTCTGTAGGTTTGCAACTTTTCCCAAGCTACTCTTGGAAAATCCAAAGAGCAAAGGAAGTTCCACCTCTGCCCCCACTCGAGCCCTGTCCAGCTAGCGGCAGGGCCAGTTTCCTGTGGATGCTTCCAGAGCCTCCGCAAAGCTGTTGTTGCTGCGTCTTTATTAATAGCAGGGTTGTAGTAGAGGTGGAAACGCGAGTGGGGCAGGCGTCAGGCCTCTGAGTCACACAGACCTGGCCCGGGGCCTGCTCCCCTCCTGACCTGTGTAAGGCGATCGCCTCTCGGAACCTCAGTTTCCTGCTCCGTGAACTGGGGATGAATACTGACCCCTCGGGCAGCTGGGAGGATCCAGTGCGAAGCCCCCGCGTGGGGCCAGGCTCGGGCAGGTGCTGACACATGACAGAAGCTCCGTTCCCCGTGCAGCTCATGGCTATCTGAGCTCCCCGGTCTGACGGAGGAGGGGCTGGGGCCTGGACCCCTGGGTCTGAGGAAGGAGGCGCTGGGGGCCCGGACTGCCAGGTTTGAGGCAGGAGGCCCTGGGACCTGGCCCCCCCGGTGTTAAGGAGCAGGGCTTTGGGAACAGTCCCCTGGTTCTTGGACACCAGCACTCCGGGCCTCTGAAGGAAGACAGAAGTGCTCAGCCCCAGGCCTGTCGTCCCAGCTCAGGTGTGTGAATCTTTCCCACCTTTCTCCTCCGTCCTCAGGCCTGGACCTTGGGGGTTCACAATATGTTTTGTCCCCTCTGTCCTGGGACCAGAGCCCAGAGTCCAAGCCGGTCTAAGTTTGGAAGGGAGAGGGAGGGGGCAGCGGCCAGACTGGGTGAGGGAGGGGTGCGGGGGGACAGGATGTCTCTGTCTCTGAGCTGTCACACACACCCCTGTCCCGGGCCCAGAGAAAGGGAGGGACAAAGGCTTTGACAGGGAGTCGGGAACAAAGCGAGGAGGAGAGAGACACAGAGACACGGGGACAGCGAGATGCCCAGAGGGAGGCAGAGGGAGGGGCAAACACAGGCGGAAAGAGGGAAGGAGGGAGGCAGAAAACAGAGTGTGGGGACCCCCCGATAGGCAGAGTCGGTGGTCAAAGAGTGGGCAGAGTGTGGGGGCAAGGGAGGGCTGGGGACCAACAGAGACAGGACAGGGAGAGGGAGTCCAGCCCGAGACCCACAGGTGGGCCGGAGACAGGGAGGGTGGAGCGAGAGATTCACGTAGAAGGAAAGAGGCTGAGACTGGCTAAAGAGGGGTGAGAGGGAGGAAGGGAAATAAACAGGCAGTACAGAGAGGGACACGAACCCAGACGGAGACAGAGACGTCTTCCGAGCTCGACAGAGTCGGACAGACACGGGGAGGCGGAGGCAGCCCTTGCCGCCAGCCTCCCGGCCCTTGGCTCTGCGCGGCGAGGACCTGTGGGTGCAGGGGGCTCAGGGGGCTGGTTGCTCTCTGGGGAGCCCAGACAAGGGGTGCCTGCCCAGGGGCCAGCCAACACCAGGCGACCCTGAGATGGAGCCCAGGGCCCCCAAGACCCCCGAGGATGGGGACCCAGAGGTGAGAGATGGGAGTCAGGGGAGGAAGGGGGGGCAAGGAGGCCACACAGGGAGATAGACTGGGGGAAACAGAAAGATCTCAGAGACCCGACACAGGGAGGCAGAATAATGGAGACCCAAGGAGACACAGCGAGACAGAGGCCCCAGAAAAATGGCCTCAGAAACAAAGGACAAGATGCACAGGGGAGAAGACCACGGAGAGAGAGAGATGCGGGTGGCGGGGGAGGTGTGTGGGCTGAGGGTGCAGCCCCAGCTGGGGCTGGGGGCTTCTGGCCCACTCCTACAGATGGGGACAGGCGGGGCCTCTGAGACAATGACCCCTAACCCTGCCAGGACACAAAAACAGGTGGCCTGAGGCTGGGTGAGTCATTGTGACTCATCCTCCTCTCTGGGGACAGTGACCCCTGTCTCCTGCCCCCACCCCCATCCCTCGGCTAGGCCTCCGACCTCCTCCCCTGCCACTCTCAGGGGACCCCAGACTCACTCCCTCCCCTCCCCTGCCCTTCTCCGTAGGAGGACACAGCCACGGCCCTCCAACGGCTGGTGGAGCTGACGGCCACCAGGGTGACCCCGGTGAGGAGTCTGCAAGTCCAGTACCGCCTCATCCGAAAGCTGGGCTCCGGCTCCTACGGCCGTGTGCTCCTCGCCCAGCCCCGCCAAGGGGGTGAGTTCGGCCGCCCTAAGGCAGACTCCCTAACTTCCCCTTAGCAAGGGCTCCTGGAAGCCTCCCAGACAGGGGCCATTCCCAGGAGGAGCTGACGGGGACCCTTCTTGATGGGGACTCTCAGAAAATTAGGAGCTCTGTGATCTTCTGGGAAACAGAGGTCACCCAGAGAGGGTAAGTGTCTACCTAGGGTCCCACAGCAAGGCAGGCATGCAACTTGGGCCCCAAGTCACCGCCATGTCCCTTACTTTATGCGAGAGGAAACTGAGGCCCAGACAGGGCGAGGCAGCCATGCAGGGCCACACAGCAGTCTGAGGCAGAGCAGGAGGGACCCTCGGGGCAGGTCGCCTCCAACCCACACTTCACAGGTGAAGAAACTTGCTCTGCCCACAAGAAGCCTGAGGCTCAGAGAGGTTAAGCGGCTTGCCTAAGGTCCCACAGCAAGGCCAGAGCCGCCTGAGTTCCCCTCCAGCCCCATCTCCCCGGCAGGTCCAGCCGTGGCTCTGAAGCTCCTACGTCGGGACTCGGTCCTGAGAACCACCTTCCTGAGGGAGTTCTGTGTGGGCCGCTGCGTCTCCTCACACCCGGGCCTGCTGCAGACCCTGGCGGGACCCCTGCAGACCCCCAGATATTTTGCCTTCGCCCAGGAGTATGCGCCCTGTGGGGACCTCAGCGGGATGCTCCAGGAAAGGGTGAGGCGGGCGGGAGACAAAGGCTGGGACTGCTTCTCCCAGGTCCAGCTCTGTCCCAAACCCCAGTTCTAGCTCCAACCCTGACCCCAAATGACCTCCCCATTTCTTATTCTCAATGCAGTTCCATGCCTGACCCCACCCTAATCCACCCAATCACCATACACAAGCTGGATGAGCAGGGAGCTGGGGTTGGGGCTGGGATGGACTGGGGCGGATGCAGGAGGTGGGGATGGACACAGAGCTGGGATTTTAGTTGGCATTGGGATTAGGGATGTGGACAGAGGTGGGCAGCTTGGGTTTAGGGTTGATTATAGATTGATAATTCTTGGGTGTGGAGAAAAGCGTGAATAGGGCTGCCAAGGGAGGCAGAGATGGCTGAAGATGTATATGCAGACTGAGTGGAGGTGGGCTGTAATGAGGTTTCCTCTAGAAAGAAGCCCATGTCAGCACTGAAACCATGAAACTCTAGGGCCTCTTGACTTTGAAGATTAGGGGTGGGGATATTTCTAGAAATAGACTTTGGATTTCAGATAGGGTTGGGGGTAAATGGAAGGAAGGAAAGAAGGAAGCGAGAGAGGAAGAAGGATCTATGGATGGATGGATGATGGACAGGTGGGTGGATGGATGGGTGGGTGAGGGGAGAGATGAATGGATGGACGAATCGGTGGCTGGCTGGCTGGCTGGCTGGGTGGATGGACGAATGGGTAGATGGATAGGTGGATGGATGAATGGATGGATGGATAGGTGGATAATGGATGGATGAAAGGAGGCAAGGAGGGATGAATGGATGGATGGATGGGTGGGAGGATGGATGGGTAAGTGGACAGATGGATGGATGGATGGATAGGTGGATGGACGAATGGATGGATGGATAGGTGGATAATGGATGGATGAAAGGAAGCAAGGAGGGATGAAGGGATGGATGGATGGGTGGGTGGATGGATGCATGTGTGCATGGATGGATGGAAGGATGGAGGGATAGGTGGATAGATGGGTGTATGAAAGGAAACAAGAAAGGATGAATGGATGGATGTTGGATAGTAAATACTTGATTAAGTTATTGAATTGCTAACTGGTTGGAGGCATGTATGTTGAGCGGATGCATTATTGAATATTGTTGGATGGATGGATGGCTTCGTGGATGGATTGCTGGCAGCTGAATCAATCAATTGATGAAGTAAACTGGAGGGATTTAGAACAGGCTCTGAGGTAGAGATGGGATCTAGATGAGTATGGGACTAGGATCAGGGTAAGTTTGGGATCTGGGTTCTCACAGAGATCTAGATGGTCATTTGAGAGGAGATATATAAAAAATTTTCGGAGTAGGTCTGAGTACTTGGGTTAGGAGAACCTTTGAAAGAAGCTCAAAAAAAGAGCTTCTGGTTAGAATTGGGGTTCCAGTGGGGACAACAGCTGAGAGTCGGTCTGGGGGAGTACAGATATGGGTGCAGGCTGTGATCCATAGGAGGGTCATCCAGAGGAGGTCTTTGGGAGGGTGTGTGGGGACACTGCAGGGAGCCACTAGTTTGGGGCTCTAGATTCTCAAACCCTAAGAGTCAGAACCTTTAGGGCTCAGGAGTCTAGAGCCTCTTTCAAGGGCGATTAAGAAGAAGGAACCAAGACACCTTGACCTTTGTCCTCTCTCCTTGACCTCAGGGCCTCCCCGAGCTGCTGGTGAAGCGGGTGGTGGCCCAGCTGGCTGGAGCTCTGGATTTCCTCCACAGCCGGGGGCTGGTCCACGCAGATGTCAAGCCGGACAACGTGCTGGTCTTCGACCCCATGTGCAGCCGTGTAGCCCTAGGTGACCTGGGTCTGACCCGGCCAGAGGGCAGCCCAACCCCTGCATCCCCAGCCCCACTGCCCACCGCACCACCCGAGCTCTGCCTCCTGCTGCCGCCTGACACCCTGCCCCTGCGGCCAGCTGTGGACTCCTGGGGCCTGGGGGTGCTTCTCTTCTGTGCGGCCACTGCCTGTTTCCCTTGGGACGTGGCACTGGCCCCCGACCCCGAGTTCGAAGCTTTTGCAGGCTGGGTGACCACCAGGCCCCAGCCGCCTCAGCCACCACCACCCTGGGACCAGTTTGCACCCCCGGCTCTGGCCTTGCTCCGGGGGCTTCTGGACCTGGATCCTGACACTAGGAGCCCTGCATTGGCTGTCCTGGACTTCCTGGGGGACAACTGGGGGCTAGAGGGGAACAGAGAGGGACCCGGGGGCTTGGGGAATGAGTCCTATGAGGGTGGTGAGGAGGGGGAAGAGGGAGGGTCAAGCTTGGAGGAGTGGACAGATGAGGAGGATGATGACAAAAGTGGCAGGAAGACAGGGACAGATGCGGGAGCGCCCTTACCAGGTGACTGAGACAGGTGGCCAGAGCCTGGGCCAAGGGCCCTTCCCCCAGCCCCCTTGGCCACCTGGATGGGGAGACAGCTGCTCCCGGGACAACGGAGGGAACACACTGCACCTCTCCCTCCTGAGTGCTTGACCTGAATGTGCAACCCCCCTCCAACCGAGGACCGGGGGTCCCCCCAGCCCCTCCTCCCTCAGACCCAGAGTCCAGCCCCAGCCCCTCCTCCCTCGAGGACCCTTCCTGTTCCCTCTGTCCTCAGCGTGTGTTCTTGAATGTTCTCCATGTATCCCCATGGATACATGTCTGTGCTCTGTTGATGTGTTGAATGTGCAGCATGGCGTTCTGAAGGGATCACTCCTCTCCTCTAAGACCTTGGGTGGCTCCCACTGTCCATGGCACAAAGTCTGAACTTTCAGGATCCGACGCCATGTAAATCTCAGCCTCCGCCGCTCCCATTTCCCTGGGTATTGCCGTGGGAGTCGCTCATCCACCTGGACCCGTCCACACACACACACAAACACACACGCTCACACACACGTTGCTGCTGGCAGACACTGGCACATCCTCTGCTCTCCACCGAGCTCACCTTTCCCCCCGCCTGTGGCTCCAGAAAGTGGCCCCTGACCCCAGCTCTCTCTCGCCTTCTGGGGAACTTGTATCGGAATGATCCCTTTCTCTCTCTTTTTCTGTCTCCCATCTTTGACTGTCCAGAAGGGACTTCTTTCGTTTCTAGATCCTTCCAGGTTTTGCCCCCTCAGAGCACAGTTCATGATTGTCCCCACGCTGTCTTTCTCGGGCCCGTCCATCCTAAGAGCCAGGCCTGGTTCTGATGGGCCTCGCTGTTTCCCCGGGCTGGCCTGGGCCCCCGGTTTTCCCGCACCACCTCCCTGATGGCACACGGACCTCTGGCTCGGTTCGTGCCTGCAGGACAGGGGCGGAAGAGATCCGATTCTGTGTCCCCAGCACCCAGCGGAGGCTGAGGAACAGGAAACCGTGTTTCCCCCATCGGAATGTATGCTTTCTAGATGGAAAAGCGAGTTCGCCGAGTGCAACATGGCACCCTGGGCTGGACCCTGGGGCAGAAAAAGGACGTTCGTGGAAGCGCTGGTGGGATAAGAACAGTCTGGTACCTGCCTAATCATTAAGTTCTGGGCTTCGACAAACGTGCCCTGGGCTGTGTTCTTGTGCCTGTGTTGGGGGAGCCGGGCGAGGGGCACATGGGAACTGCACAGTCTTTGCAACCGTACTGTAAATCCACAATTATTCCAAAATAAACAGTTTGTTTTAAAAAATAAAGTGAGTCCATGTTGGTCACAATGCTATCAACCTGAGGGGCAGGCGCGGTCTTCCCAGAAAAAGAAGCGAGCCCTCAGGAGCCCCACTGTCGGCCAAGGGCTGGTGACTTCGGGGAGCAGCTGGACCGCCCTGTGCTCAGAGCAGGGAAGCCAGCGCTCAGTGGCCCTTGTTCCTGTCGTACTTTTTCAAATTGTTTTCATTGTTGTCCCTCTCTATGGCGTGGTGGGGGTGCCCGGCCCCTTCTCCCTCAAGCCCAGGGGTCCAGACCTGAGCTTCCCCCACCCGTTTGAAGTGTTCGGGCACAGAGCACAGCCCTCTCCCCCCGTGGGGCCCCTCTCCTCCCAGTTGCTCCACCACCTGCTTCCCGCCCCCCCAGGCCTGAGGTCATCTCTCACTGCATCATTCTGGAATCTCGTTGTCTCATTTTTTCCCCAAACAGCACCCCAGTGTCTGATCCCCTGGACACCCCTCTTGGAACACTTGTGTCCAACCTGTCAATGGGGCATTGATGGGGGCAGCTGGGATGGGGGTCGAGGCAGGGGTGCGTTGCAGAGATGATTTCATTCTCTGCAGGGGCCTGGACCCCTGGGCCCAGGGCAGGAGGGCTGAGCCGGGCTGGGGCATTTGTCTGACCACAGCCAGTTCTAGGAATCAACGCACGATGTCGCTCTGCCCCCAGTGGGGGCAGAAGGGGCGGGGCCGGGGCAGGGCCTTACGACCCCCCGAAGTGGGGGCGGGTCTTGCTCCGGGCAGGCCTCTGCTGGCATGGGCCTTCGGTGCCCGGCGCTGACCACAGCAGGCCGCAGAAGGGTCAGGCGGGCCTTGGAGAAGGTACGGTCTGGAGGTCTGCGCCCAGGTCAGGAGGAGGGCGAGGTTGAAGGGTGTGAGGTGGGCAGCACCTGGGAGCGAAAACGGCCAGGTGGCCAGGGGCCTGGGTCCCTCGGGGGAGCGCAGGCTGCACCTGGGGCTGCAGAGTGGCCGAATGTCACGGAAACAGATTCTGGGGGTCCCCAGCTGTGTGAGTGGCGCACGTTTCCAGGAGAGGGGCGGGCTGGGAGCCTGGGTCTGAGAGAGGCAGGCTGGGCTGTGAGAGGTGGACCCAAGGCCTGCAAAGGTCTTGGGGACCCATCCCAAGTGCCTGCTCCCACGCAGGACCCAGGCGTCCCAGGCCCTCCAGTGCAGCCCCGCCTCCCCGGCCCCTGGGGGCAGAGAGCACCTGTTTGTTCTCTCATCCACCCCCAGGGCCCGTCTGTTTGCTTTGGAGACAAGGTGGGGGGTGTCTCCAGTTATCTGGTTCATCTTTCAACTTCAGGCCATCAGGTGGTGCAGGGGTGTGGGGGCAGGGGACATCCGTGACCTCGGGCTCGGATTATCCTTACGCAAGGGACTGCCGTCCCTGCTCCTCAGAGCCCTCTCACCAGGAGAAACTGAGGCACAATAAGAAGTGGCAATGAGCCCCCAGCACCTCCTCCCTCAGAACCAGGGGTCCAGCCTGGCGAGACCTGAGCCCGGGTCACCCTTGCTGGGTCTGTCCTTGCAGAGATGCCGGGCAAACGGTCTGACGAGGAGTCGGTGGAGGTGGAGGCTGGGGAGGATGAAGGTGAGCAAAGCCTGGGGGGCCTGACCAAGGAGGAGCTCCGGCAGGGCCAGGAGGCCGCCCTGGCGCTGGAGGACATGATGGCGCTGAGTGCCCAGACCCTGGTCCGGGCCGAGGTGGACGAGCTCTACCAGGAAGTGCGTCCCCTGGGCCAGGGCCGCTTCGGCCGCGTCCTGCTGGTCACCCATCGTCAGAAAGGTACTTGGTCCGGGGACGAGGGTGGTGGGGTGCAGCTGGGGGCAGGGGCATGGGCCCAGGCTGAGGTATCTGGTAGACCTGAATCAAGTCTTACCTCCACCCCTCCCAAGCTGTGTGTTTTGGGGAACACCCTAGACCTCTCTGAGCCTCAGCTTCCTTCTTTCAAAATGTGGAAGGTTTCCTCCTTGAGAGGACTGTTGATCCCCCGAGCACGTAGCTGTTGCTCTAGTTGCCGGGGACAGTGTGGACGAGACGGAGTCCCCACCCTCGTGGATCTCACTCGTGGCTGGTTCAGTGGTTGTGTGGGATGATTCAGAGCGATGCCGTTAGCCAAGCGCGTAGTGAGGCCACCCCCGGCATGTGCAGGACAGCTGGAACCAGCTCCTCTGGTACCTTTCTGCCAAGCATACGCCCAGCCTCTGTGCTTGCATGAAATGGACACTGCGGATGAAACGTGGAGTCAATCTTGGTTCAGGGAACACCTCCAGAGGCCGCCGGGGGGCTCAGCCCTGCGCCCAGTGGTTCTGGGCACCCCGAGACGAATCAGAGCCAGCCGTCCCTTCAAGGAGCTCCCAGCACGGATGGGGAGCGAGACCGCGTATCAGTCTGCCCTGGCTGCTGTAGCCAAGTACCACAGACCGGGCGGCTTCAACCACAGAACTGCTTTTCTTCATGGTTCTGGAGGCTAGAAGTTCGAGACCATGGTGTCCGCAGCGGTGGCTTCTTTCCTTGGCTTGTGGACGCCATCCTTTTTCTGTGTCCCCATGTGTGTCTATGTCCTAACCTCTCCTTATAATGACGCCAGTCATATGGGATTAGGGCCCACCCTAGAGACCTCATTTTGCCTCTTTAGAGACTCCCTGTCCAAATGCGGTCACGTTCTGTGTTCTGGGGTTAGAACTCCAGCATACGGGTTTTGTGGGGACACATCAGCCCATCACAGAGAGAGACGCAGAGAGGAGAGGCCCAGACCTGGATCCGTATGGGACGGGGCGACGTGGGACACACTGGGGGACGGAGGCATAGCAAATGAGGCTCGTGCACTTGGGGGCATTGAATGTCCACTGTGAGGCCTCCTTGTGGCCCACCCTGGGCTGGGCGATGCCGGGGACATGAACACGCAACTGTCATGGAGAAGTTCATGGCACAGTGGGGAGCACGGACGGGCAGAGGTGATCCAGGACACGGTAACCGCGTAGACACGCACTGCTGCGTCCAGCTGGGAAGTGGAAGGGGAGTGGTCGGCGGCTTAGTAGGGGGTAACCCACCTCGGTCACCCACAGCCTGCAAACGGGCCAGCTGGGCCTTGGCAGCTGGTGGCTATAAAGAAAAAAAAAAAAACCCCAAAGAAACCGGAAGTTCCTGCCTTCGGGGAGTTTCCATTCTAGGAAGTCGTTTCCACGTGTGACAAAGGCCATGATTCCTAAATGAATCCACTCCCCAGGGCAGGCTGTCTTTCCCTAGTTGCCTCAAAAATGCCTTTTTGCCTCAAACATGGGTTTGCTCTTCTGAGAGTCCACTTGAGGTCATTGGAGGTATTTCATGGCATCCCTCCGTCTGCTCTGACAGTGGACTTGTAAGAGGTCAGAGTAGAAACTTGCCATGTGCTCATTCTTTTTGTATTTCTTTTTAGAGACGAGGTCTCGCCAAGTTGCCCAGGCTGGTCTTGAACTCCTGGGCTCAAAGAATCCTCCAAACTGTAGGGATTACAGGCGTGAGCCACTGTGCCTGGTCTTGTGTTGTCATCATTAGTACCGCCAGTGATGTCCTGGTGGCCATGCCATTAGGGTGGGAACTGGAGGAGGCAGGGGTGGCCCGTGGTACAGCGAGCCTGGGCTCAGGGGCCAGCAAGGGTGAGTACGGGGGGCCGCTGGCCCAGGGCCCCTGGCTCCTGCACACTTCTCAAGCCCGTCCCTGCTTCCCCAGGCACGCCCCTGGCCCTGAAGCAGCTCCCGAAGCCCTCCACCTCCCTCCGTGGCTTCCTGTATGAGTTCTGCGTGGGCCTCTCGCTGGGCGTGCACGCGGCCGTCGTAACCGCCTACGGCATCGGCCTCGAGTCAGCCGACTCCTACAGCTTCCTGACGGAGCCCGTTTTGCACGGGGACCTCATGGCCTTCATCCAGCCCAAGGTGGGTAGGCAGACCCCGAGCGTGCCTGCGAGAGCCTCACGCCCTCACAGAAATGCCCCTGAACAGCCTGGACCACGAGGAATCATATCACTGCATTGGCCTCCCTGGCCTCACCTAGCCCCCCGGATGCCCTCATTGGGCCCACGGGACTCATGGAACTGTTAGGCCTCTTTGGAGTTCATCGACATCACAGAAGTACCACTATACCCTATGGAGATTCACCGGTCATCACGGGGCCACACTAGGCCTCATGGGGCCATATTGAGCCTCACGGGGTCACATTGGGCCTCATGGGGTCCCAATAGGCCATCCTGGGGCCAACCTCTTTGAAGTACTTCTTATGGCCTCTGTAGTTTTCCCTGGGCCCGTCCCCTGGGGCCGAGGAGAAGCTCGATGGTCTCAGTCCCCTTCCTGATGGCCTCGTCCCCGCAGGTGGGCCTCCCACAGCCGGCCGTCCAGCGCTGCGCCGCCCAGCTGGCCTCGGCCCTGGAGCACATCCACTCCCTCGGCCTGGTGTACCGGGACCTCAAGCCGGAGAATGTGCTGGTGTGTGACCCCGACTGCCAGCACTTCAAGCTGACCGACTTCGGCCACACACGGCCCCGTGGGACCCTGCTCCGCCTGACGGGGCCGCCCATCCCCTACACGGCCCCCGAGCTCTGTGCGCCCCCGCCGCTCCCCGAGGGCCTGCCCATTCAGCCTGCCCTGGACGCCTGGGCGCTGGGGGTGCTGCTCTTCTGCCTCCTCACTGGCTACTTCCCCTGGGACCAGCCCCTGGCCGAGGCCGACCCCTTCTATGAGGACTTCCTCATCTGGCAGGCCTCGGGCCAGCCCCAGGACCGCCCTCAGCCCTGGTTCGGCCTGGCCCCCGAGGCGGACGCTCTTCTGTGGGGGCTGCTGGACCCTCATCCCCGCAGGAGGAGCCCTGTGAGCGCTATCAGGGGCTACCTGGGGCGCCCCTGGAGGCAGCAGGCCGGGGAGGAGGCGGGGGAGTGAGGAGGTGAGAGGCAGGGGGAGACACAGAGGGAGGCAGGTCCCAGACCCTGAGGCCTCCTCCGCCTGCGCTGGTCGGCTCTCGGTTTCTCCTCTGCCTGTCTCCATCTCTGTCTCTCACGATTTCCCCACTGTGTCCTCCTGTCCCTCCTGTCTGTGGGGGCCTCTGAGCCCTCCTGTGTCTTTCCGTGTCTGTCCCCACTTCAACAGGTCCTTTGCACTTGCTGTACCTTTTGCCGGCTACGCGCTGGGCTCACCCCTCACCTCCTGCCACCTTGGCCTTCCGAATGCCACACTCTGCCCTGTGCTCCTCCTTTTCTGTGACATGCATCCACTTCTTATTTTTTTTTTTTTTTTTTTTGAGACAAACTCTTGCTCTGTTGCCCAGGCTAGAGTGCAGTGGCATCATTATAACTCACTGCAACCTCAAGCTCCTGGGCTCAAGCAATCCTCCTGCCTCAGCCTCCA